CACCTCCTGCTCACCGACACCGGGGCTTCTCTGCCCTCACCACCACGCAGCCGACATCCCTCTCACGGCACCTCGCCGAGAACAGCTATTTCGGCAGCCTTTAAAGTTCATGGAGAGGACACGCTTAGAACTTCCTCCCATTCGCCATCGGTAATGAAGAATTCATCTCCCCGTACTAAGACGGACTACTTTTTAGAGGCATCTCCCTGCGCTGCAACTAATTACAAAGCAAGCACAGATGGCGAGATAAAGTCACTTTGCTTTAAACAGCCGATTAGGAGAGTCTCAGTGTAAATAATAGTTCAGTATCTGGCTTCTAGAGCTAACCTGACCACCAGTTCACTTCATAGCTCACCTCATGTGTCAGAGACTAACATTTGAAAATGACAACTGTGTTTCCACAGCCAGGTATGTCAGCTTTATTATAAATTAATTTGTTAAGGACCTTACAGAGCTGCTTTGAACATTCTCATCCCCAAAATGGCAACATTAAAATATGCTGGTTTTTACAGGCCCACCACTATAGCTGACTGGGAAACTTAATGCCTGGAAAATGCACGTCAAAGTCTTACTGCTGTAAGCTTTTAATTGGCACTTCTGATGTTTGAGGGAAAAAATAATAAATCCGTTCTCACAGTAGAAAAATGCAGAGAGATGCTGAATATTTCTGTAGAAAATATATATGGTCAAAGTAATGCATCAGCTTGGGTTCCAAAGGATGGGAGGCCAATATCTGTGCTGCCCCATGACTTTAGAAGCCAGTGAGAAACTTCAACCTGTTCTGAAAAGGTGGCAAGGAGAGAAGAGTTTACAAGGTAATTTAAGTTCTTGCAAGCTCCATGAGAATCAGGGGCTGGGAAGGAGGTCCAAATAATGCCCCGGGGGAGGAAAAGATGGGCAGAAAGATGCCCCGTCTCTTGCTTGGGGGACATAATGTCAATCATCAAGGGAACTCGAGAAAGACACTGGATCTACAGGAGTTGTAACACATTCAGAGGAAACAGAACTTCCTTAGTTCTGCTCTTCACAGCACTCCTGTTCAAGAGAGCTCTTTTTGCAGGATTTGCCCAAACCTAATTTTATAATTATGACTCCATTTCTACTGTGCCACCCCTTCTCCAACACAAGTCCTTGGGCAGATGACGGATGACCACCCTCTACCACTGGTTACGAAGATGTACGGGGGAGCACAGCCGTATCGACCCTGGAACGCAGACTGCACAGCTCAGCCGCTCCGATGTGAAACACCAACCACCAGCTGAGCAAAGGTATTTTCATATCGCCTGTTGCAACAGCATGAAAGTGGCCACAAATTTCCATGGTTTGGATCACCATCAGCACACAGAAATGCATCTCAAATCATTTCCTTATGCTTTGATATGCTTGATGCTATGTGACTGACTGATGAACAATTACAAAACCCACAGAACTTCCCAATCCTCTTCTCTTACAAGAAACTTTTACACTTTATATATTTTATAATAAATTGCAGACCAATTCCTTCAAACAATAAAGGCTTCATAATTTTAATAATGTACCTATGTACTATTTAATAAGGCATCTATGCAAAATAGCAGAAACAAATTTGACTTCAAAAGAGAAAACCTACTGCAGAAACGCAACACACAGCTTTTTAGTAAAGAAAACAAAACAGAGCAGCAAGCATCCTCCAGTACTAGAAGAATTTGCTTACATAGGCAGAACAATCTTCCTTTGTCTCCCAGAAATTTGACAGAAAATGGATACAACCCCTGCTGCTTTACACTGTTATACCAACAAAAAGAGCTACATACAGAGATTCAATCATTCATTCATTCAATTATGATAAAAACATACCTGTGGCTAATCTAATGGCTAATGCCACAAGCCATCACTTTACCCCAACGCTGTATCCCAGTGAATTGCTAATACTAATTATCTGGGAAGAGCAGGAAGACAGCACTGAAAAAGTGCTGAAGTGCTTCTTTCGTAACTTCAGACATTGCAAGAAAACAAACCAGAAATGATCGTTTATGCCCTACGGTATCATTGTTATCAGTTGTTGCATTCAAACCACGATTGGTTTTGACAGGTACCACAAATGATTTTGCAGCGCCACAGGATATTTTGGTCTTAATTATTACCAGAGCCCAGGACTCCTCGTTTTGGTAAATGCCAGATTGCCAGACCACACAAACAGGCCCCTTGGCAGCTCCTCTTTGGCTGTTATGTGTGATTTTGCCCAAATGCTCACTTTCTTACCTCTTACCGACACATTCCCTAACCGAATGCGTGGTGGTTACTGGCACTGGCCTGGGAGGTGGTAAAAAGGGCCCGAAGCTCCTCAAGACGGAAGTGGTATCTTCTCTTTCCAGAGTGCCAACTCCTCAACAGCTGTTCACAACGCTGGTTAGCAAGAGCCTTTTTATTTTTTGAAAGCAAGCAAAATCCTTGCCTTGGTGAGGCACTCTGTCCCGTTGGTACAGGCAGCGCTCTCGGACGTATCTTCCCCATCCAGGTGCTCCACGGACACGGGCAGGGAGTGCCTGGGACCTGCCTGAGCTCGAGCAGCAGCAGCCAGCACCGGCATGACAGCAGTGGCCCAGACAGCACTCGGGTCAGCCCTGCGTCACGACGCAGGGGGAGACCGAAGGTAACTACCTGAAACATAAAGAAAACCAGGAAAAGTGAGACCGGTTCTTTCCATGCTACATCAAGAAGGAGCAATTCTGCATGCAGGGAGGCCTGCAGCTGCAGTCGACGCTGAAGGTAGGCATTAGAATTGAAAATGGGGAATGCCAAGAAGTGGAACTAGATAAACGGTCATGGCGCATGTGCTGGGAAGGGTAAAACCTGGTAAGAGGAGATAATGAACTCATGCAACAATCCATGGTAAGGAGAATGAGATTTACAATTCAAAAATAAAATAACTGTGGTAGTGTTGCTGCCTCTTCGCTAATTAAGATGTAGAGTCTATTAATAATGATGCAGAAAAGGCAGTTGTTTTCAATTAAAATGTCTTCCTATTTGAAAAGGTAGGGTATTGTGTGATAAAGTATTTTCTAACCCACTAGCAACTGAAGGGGCAAAGCATTACCAGATATAAGTATTTTAATAAACAGCGTATATTAAAGTTTCAGGATAGCTGACCCAGTGTATCTTTAGGTAACTGAAAATGTCAATAGATTTTGGGAAAACATAACTGTCGCACTACAGAATGGAAACTAGAATGAATTGGGTAAAAGTACAGACCAATTTTCCAATATCCAAACTACGCTGCAGAATTTAAATTTATAGACTATTAAAGGTTCCAAATGTAATTACCAGTAGCAAACACCTTTTATGAAAAACAGGCTTTAGTAAACCTCCTTTTGCTGTTCAGTGAGGTATTTGGTTGATAAACCTAACTGAACAGTCCTAATACTTTTGTAGGGCACTGCTGCAGCGAGTCAAACATCTTAACTCACAACTAGCACGATACAACATCAATAAAATATGCACTGGGTACACAAACCGGCAGATTTCAATGAGGAGCTTCTCCACTGGCTGCAGTTGAGCAAGTTTTAGGGAGGTTGTACAGATTTGTGAGAGGACTAACACACTTTTAACGCTCTAATAAAATCATGCAAAAGGCAAAGCTAGGCAAAGCCATGCACTCTTACACAGAGCCAGAGTAATGCAAAACAACAGAAACCATGCGGTAAAGCTGACTTTCACTTAGGTACAACCTGCTTTGGCATTGCAAAAGGTAAAACCACCCGTACAGGAAACAGAAACGTAGGCCATAAAACAGGAGATTGGCCTGGGCTCTCCCAGAAACTTTAATTCCGTTTTAATGCCCACCGTGGTGCTGTCGCAAAAGCAGGTAATAGAATTGTGAATATGTAAGCTGGAGCATGTAGAGTAAAAGAGGTTAAAAAAAAATCAGCAAAACACCAGGAAGAAAACAGGAAGGGATGAAGAAAACATTTACAGTTTAAGACTAGAGAAGATCCGTTTGTTTAGACTATCAAAAAGAACTGGCACAGAAATAAACAGAGCATATGTTCACACGTTTTAATAATGACAGCCTATTCTTATTAATAAGCACCCACACAAGTGGTAGATTTGCACTCCACTACAGTATTTACAACTAGGCAAATTCTTGAATGAGGAACTGAGCTCAGTCTGACTGAAAGATATTTAGTTCAATGCCAGATAACTTAGTTTTAAGACCTGGAATATTAGATCAGCTCACGTAATTAGTCCCCTTGGACTCTAAGGTGTCAGAAAGTAATGTTATTTTTCCCCAAGCAGCGTTTAGCCAGTTTTCAAACAGGCATCTCCATTTATCAGCGACAAGATAATGCAAGCAGCACATAATGAGCTACGTTATAAAGAACAGTATTCTAAACGTGCCCATAGAGCACCCCTACGCTGCTACTTGCAGTCATCAGCTGACCCTCTTGGAATTCAGCCGCCATTTCCATCACGCCATTTGCAGTCTGAGTTGAGATAAAACGGAGTTTCCGTCCCCTCTCCACAACCAGGGAAGAAGGCCCAGCCCACTCTAACGGCGACACAGGGGATGGTTCTTGATTAAGGGCGCTTTTACCAATGACCCACCGTGCCAAACACCACGATCAGCTCAGTACAGATCTCCTCGGAGCTGGCTGTACTTTTGATGAACACTATCCAGGTTCACAAACTGCAAAGCTCTGTCAGCACTTTTAAGACACTACATAAATGTTTAAATACATGAAGAAAGCCCTTATACATCTCAGTAAGATCCCGACCACCAATTTCACATCGCTATAGTTGCATAGTGTAAACAGCTTTAAAGACCGGGTGTACACTGAGCAAGTAACAGCTCCCAAATTTGAGTTGCAGCATCACGTTTATTTACAGAACATCTCGCAGGAAATTCATCACAAGCAGACAGAAACAAGAAGCTTTACAACAAATCCATGTGAGATTTTTCTGTACATTCTATTTTTCAACAACAAGAAATATATTATTAGCAATACAGACACATTTACACATTAAAAATCTATACAACGTCCTTTTCTCTCCCAGTCTCCGAAACGTGTAGGTTCAGGGCCTTTAGGTCCACCCCTCTCTTTTGTAGCAGGATTGATTCCATCAGGGAATTCTAAAATGACAGGGAAAGGTCATTAAAATGCCTGTAACGTTGGCAAATATAAAGATGGCACCATCTATGATGTTTGCCTCTTAGTTTCATTTTCAAATACAAAATCAATTCTCTCTTGTTTTTAAAGGCAACCTTGAGTACAACATTTCCCAGCGTCATACAAAACTAATTTCAGAGAGTTTTTTGACTACAGTCAGCAATATATATGACCATATTCAGTGATGCAAAGAAAAAAGAAACTCAATGTCCAAAGGCACTGAAGCACCAGTTTCTCTTGAATTCACAGCAAGAACTCGTGCCAGTCAGCCATGCTGTACGTATGTTCCCTACATCTGAAACACCAGGTCACTTTCTGTGTTTGTTTAGGTCTCTAATTTTAAGCACTCAGGTTTCAATTTTAGCTTGAATTTTAGCAAAGATTCTATTATTCTCGTATTTAAAACACCATGTTTTCATGGATGCTGGTATGTTTTTCAAGAAATAGCATGTTGATATTCATCACCACCAGACTAGGTATCAGAGTCACAGGAGGTACTGTAAAATCCTGAATAGCTAAAATTAGACTTTTTACCTTCTGACACTTAACCTAAGCTCGCAAAGTCACTGTGATGCCCTTTCACGAGGGCGACGCTTCATAAGTGGGGTGTGAATGGGACTTTCAGATCTCTCTGAGAAGTGATGTGCTGAACTTATGCACTAGCAGTGCTGCTTCTACTCCGAGCACCCTACTAGCTTGTGCCACCTACTCGACCACCATGGAGCTTTCTGCACCTCACAATCAACATCCTTATGCTACTCAGTGCTCCCTTACTCAGGGCTGTCTCTTAAGAGTAATAACTCAGGCCATCCATACTGCACAACGGCCATCGCACCAGGCACTGCCAAGCCATGAAGTACTTTTTGGCACAGCACCATCCTAGGCTGAGTGTTTTCTCATCCTGCACCAGGGTGCAGGTATCCCTGAATCTCACTGCCCCCCACACAGCCCCTCACAACACTGATTCTCCAGAGCCTTCCATATATACCCAGAACTTGGGGCTCCCTTGGTCATATCCCTAACCCAGCCCTGGTGGGCAACACAAGCAATGAGGAACAGGGTTGACAATGAGAAAAGACAACAACAGAAACCCTGGAGAGCAGAGAAAAAGGTCAGTGATGGAGGGAGACTCACGTACTGACAGGCTATACAGGATGATGTATTAGTATGCCTCTGTAAAAACTGATGCAGACCACGACAGGAAATGTCAGCATTGGAGCACCTCTGGCAGTACAAGGAGCGCAAATGCATCTAATATTATTTTGTAGATCTCATCATCCCAATATCCAAGCACTGCTGATGTGCTGACAGTGGAAGCAGAAGCTCAAAAGATTTCTCCATGACTGCTACACAGTAGTGGGAATTCAAACACCCAGCTTGAGCTCTTAATGGTTTTTTTTCCTAATAACACAATGGGCAGTCAGCATTCTAACAACCTATTGCTGGTGTTACATGTGAAAAACATACAGGTACAACTGCATTTAAAGCCAAAATAAACCTCGAGTCTTGCTCTAAACCTAGAACACCTAAGCAAAAAGCAAAAGATAATAACTATGCATTTATTTTAAATGAAGCAGTGATGGCATTTATTTTCATAGGAATATGAGGACAAGAATTAAATAGCTGCTTATACAGTAACTCCAACTCTGAGTCAGTTCTCAAGTGAGTCACAATCTGAAATTGCTTGCAACCATTTCAGAGATGATACTGTAATTTTTCGGTCATTTTGTCATCTGGATACTTATAGTAATTAAAAAAGCTTGTCCTAGAAACCTCAAAATAGATAAACACGGGTTATCACTGCTGGTAAACAGTAGCAGAACATCACACTACGGTGAATGAGATAAAGCCTGACTAGCACTTTTAGTTAAGGGAAGATGGCTAATTAAAAATAAGGAAGAAAGAGATTCTGTCTTCCTCCTGCCTGATAAAAGAAGCGCATGTTTCTAGCGACTTCAGCAGCAATGTATCTGTGCCTCAATCTTGCCAGTTCTGCAAATGCAGCCCCACTAAGGTCACTGGAACGCAACAGGAACAGCAGCCCATTAGGTCTCCCTGGACCCCACTGAGCAGCTCAGTAAACTCAGTACCTGTTGTTGCTTTTCAAAACACTACCTGCAAGACTGAGAGAAAGACTAACCACGAAATGCAGCACAAATCAGAAATCTTTTATGGACTAAGGAACAGAACAGGCTTTTTGAATTACAAAAAGTAGCGGGTGCCCTCAGGAGTTCACCACCACCATTTATAGCTGTGCTGTAATAGACCCAATACCATCTCCACTTCTCAGAAGGATGCGAGAGTTTACGGCAGAAGGCACCTTTGGCAGACATCTGGCCACAACCCTGCTCAAAGCAAGGCTGGTATTGGGTCAGGACACGCAGGCAAATCCGAGTACCTCCAAGAGGAGAGGGATCACAGATTCTCTGGGTGACTCATCACAATGTTTGACCACCCGTGTTCTGAAAGCTTTTTCCCCTCATACACCATTTGCTGCAACTTATGCCCACTGCCCTGCCTCTCCGCTTTTTTCAGAACCATTAAGCTTAGAAAGTGATTCTGAATAACGCTGAATGCCTGCCTCTCTTAAACTGACATCAGCACAACATCTCAGGGTCTTGCCTTTAAAACACTGCTTTCAATTTTGTAAAACATTACTTACTTTCCAAGGGTTCCCTCTCTATACTGGACTCTTCTGGTTCATCAAATCGACCTACTGGTAACTTCGGTTTCTTAAGTGACTGCTTAGCAGGTTCAGATCTTCCTCCTGTCTTAGAGCTGGTGCTCCTCAGAGAGCAGCAAAGCAGTGATGACTCTATCGAACAAAGCGATACATGTACCATAAACATGAGAGTTTAATACTGAGTAGCTCTATGACTGTTCAGAGCACCTCTGAAAAACCCTCACTTCAGAAACTAAGGAGCAGAGAACAGGAAAACAAACTCCAAATATTAAACATTAAACTCACGAACACGTAAGAAATCAGCACAGATAATTATTTTTGGCCCTAGAAACATATGCAGGCAAAACTGTGTTAGTTGTATAACTCAGTTCACACAAACAGTGTATTTTAAACTGCTTGAACTTATCTTCACTGTTATCTTCTTGTATTTTAGACTCTAAATAGTAATTATGCTAGCATAGACCAGTACATTCTGTTTTCCCGGAGAAGTCCTAACCTCCCACAAGAAGCCTGCAGATTCCCAGGTCTTGGCTCATTTCCAGCAGATTTTGAGTCAGAAAAAGCTTCTGCTTTCTCAAAGGAAAGTTTTAAAATAAAACGTTGTTCCCTTCCCAAAAGGTTTTCCAGAATGTTGGTAGAGAATAGTTGGGCTTCCCTTACGATGGTAAAATAATTCAGCTGCTAGTCAAAAGCGGGACAAACTTTGAGCACATTTAAGTTCAATTATATAACTGCATGCAAATGCTTTACTTAAAAGCATAAACTTTTTTCCTTTAAAGTCCTACTAACATTTTTATAATGTAAATGTAAGAGAAAGCCTATTAATATCCATACCTACGGTTCTTTCAGGTAGTATAAAAACAGAGGTGCACAGATATCACAAGTCATAAATAAGCACCTGAAAGAACTATTATTCTTTCTTGCTGAAGAGATCGTATCAGGAAATCTTCTCAGGCAGTGTGGATTTGACTCACCTATACAAACACCAACCAACAATCCACCTGTATTCCCAGAATCAGCATATTCATTCATCTTAAAATACCACAGCCTTAAGACTAAACCCTACAGTCACATAAACTGTATTATGCCTGCCAACTGCTGCCAACACCCTCAAAGGAATGATTTTATTTTTTTTTTTGCTTTAAATATGACATAATGGACTATCAACAGTGAAGGATCTAAACCTTCTGCAAACATTGGATCTTTCTACTCCTGCCAAGCATCTTGTCATTCTTCGGTAAGCTGAAAGAAGCTAGCTAGAAAATTAAATTAAAGCTGATATTCTACCCCAAGTTCAAATAAAACTCAGCTTAAGGTACCGACATGAGACTGATTATCTCAGTCAGCACAGAAGAGGCAAAATCCATTTTCCTATTTGCAATACTTGACATTGTTGACCAAAATGCCTCTTCTTGACAGAGAGATGACAGAAGTTCAACATTAAGTACCTCTAAGAAAGATGTGATGAACAATCAACTTTGTCATTCTACAAACTAATCTTTGAGTCCCTCATCCTTTACAGACAGTCAGAAAGCCATTCAGTTTATTAATTATATAGTTGAATTTGAAAAGAAGTTGAAAATCCCAAGTCTTTAAAGTTGCTGCACAGCCAACATCTGCAATATCCAGTCTTTTCAAGTGGCCCACAGACCGTGATTTATCATAACAAAGCCATTCACACAGTGGGCGCAGGGCACTCATCCGGATGCTCGGGAGAGCAGGAACATTGGCCAAACCTTGCCATGAACCTAATGGCCAAATAGAGTCTAGGAGGGCTCACAAACATAAAACCTAATGGCCAAATAGAGTCTAGGAGGGCTCACAAGCATCATTTTTTTCCCAGCTCTTCTATTAATATATACCATACTGGTCTGTTTCAGGAATATTGTATCAATAGCATCACAGAAATCTCAATTTTTGATGGAGAAGTACGCGGCCTGACCCGCCGAGCAATGTGGGACAGACACTGTTACGCAGGCTACTTTATTTGTCCTCCAGCCTAGGTTTCTCCATGAACAAATCACCTCAATTTCCTCGCAGAAAAGGCACAGACCAGTACCTTCCAAGGGCACAGTAAGTTCCCTTCAGCTAATCTACAAATATTAAACCACGG